CTCCTGGAAACACTGAATAATAAAATCTCAAAGCAGTATAAATTTGTAATATATTCTTCTGTGAGTTTAGTCTAAAACCTGCAGCACTAGTTCTGGGTTTATAAAAATAATTTAATTTAAAAATGTATAGTTTCTTTCAAGTATTTCATCAGTTTGCTAAAAACTTCCATCTGACATATGATTTTCTTGATAAAGATTTTTCCTGTTAACTGTTAAATATATAAAATTCTCAAAGAGAAAATATTTTCTTGTGACTGGCTATTGAATTCAGGACTGGAGATAGGCAGGTATCCTCAATTCAGCTATGTATTAGTGAAGCAAGCAATATTATTCAAAGACCTCTCCCAGAGGTAATTAAAATACGAGTGGAGTCAAGATACGCTAAAAATTTGGCCAAGATTCAGGTGTGAAATGCATCAGGTGACTCATACTTTATTTTTAACTGATAAAGTCAAACCTGGGATGTTACTGTAAATGCTTACTTCTGCCTCCATATTGATGCTGTGTTGTATCCCAGATATAATACCTCTGTTGCATTTTGCAGGCAAGCATGAGCATATTTTGAGTCAAGAAGCTGTGCAACCATGATCAACATGATGCTGCTACTCATGATCTAAGTTCTGGGAATCAGCAGACATTAGCTTTGCTTTTGGTAATACAGTGTTGATGTAGCTACAAGGCTTCTGGTTAGAAGCAGTCTTACATTAAACCAGGTCAGATGGCACAGCAGAACAGGTTCATGTTTTTAAAATGTTACGTAGACTTATTTTTTACTTCCTGGAATGCAGGTAACCTAGGCTGGCACTTTCTTTCAATAAAGCACGTTTTCCACCAGCTACACAGGCCCGTATTCCATTCTGGTTTTCCATCTGTAAGTCTGGAACTGTGTGTTGGATTGTACTGCAAGTGTATGGATCTAGTAGAATGTGGTTATCTGGGTGAGGAATCTAGGATGTAATATCCCTTGGTATGCAGGATGCTGGCAACACAGAATCAAGCCTCTGCTTACCTGGATTCATCCCAGTTTCAAAGGCCAACTGAAGAAGTCTGTTGTCCACGTATACTGTTACATAGTAATGTACAACTTGCAGTGTATACTAACTTAGTGTACTAATCTTGTGTTGTTTCTCACTTTTTAGTTCAGCGCACACTTCTGGAGAACTAAATTAAAGAAAACATGAAGAACAGACTATTGAAACTGGATAGAGAGCCTGCATTCTGCCTGGAAAAAAAAACCAACATAAAAGGAAACAACAAAAGCATTTAAAAAAAAAAAAGAGGAGTCTTAAGTTACATGAGAAAACAGTTCTTGTTTGAAACACTTCTGGGAGTGTGACGTAGAACTGAGTACTTCTGTATGGTTAGTCCTGTGAAGCGTTGTTGCACACCAGTATGTGGCCTTAATGACAGGAGTGTAGAAGTATGTTGTGCCTTTACATTCTTTTCTGTACTCCTTTGACAAATGGGTGTGTCTCGAGTGCATTCAGTATGTTTAACTTTTCCTTACCTCTCCAAAAAAAATAAACAATTAATGTTTTGTCACACCATTGCTTTCAGGCAGTGCAAACATTTTTTTAATATCCTGTATGCAGTGAGTGTACCAACCAAACAACTTGGTATATGCTGTGGGTACCTGAAAGCAAGTGGCTCACAGCATGTGGGTAATGGATCTGGGTGTGGGTGATGCTCCTACAATCTGTGTAGCCTCCTGGATCACCCACCAGGGAAGAGATGCTTGTTTTGAGCATCCAAGAGACAAAAAACTCAGTTTTGTTATAGTATTTTTTTTCATTGCATCTGTCTGGTACAGATTCAGAACACCCAAACTAGTGCACACAGACCCTTCCTCCTTTTCTGGCTTTTCCTGCTTAGCAAGCATTGAGCTGGTCAGATGTGGAAAAGTCAGATTTGCAAATTGGAACCGTAGTCGGATTTTGTACATCTGGGGAGACTGATGTTTGGCAGTTGTCTGAACAGATGTGGGTGAAGCATTGGGGAGTGGGGATTAACATCTTCAGACTTCTGTAACCAAAAACTTGTAACAATGTCTTACTTTAAATTCAGAAGGTTAATCATAGGCACTTAAAGACAGAAGCAGTGCTACAGTTCAAAAGTACATGATAGCACCAGAACAATCCAGCTGACCAGAACAATCCAGCCTCATTCCACAAGCATCCACTGGACAGTATAAACAGCATATGTATGAAGAATGCTTTTGGACTTGTGAAGGATTGCCATTGGGATGAGGACCTATGATTGCATCCTCAACACTTATGAGCTTTGCTGTGGCTCTTGAAAGCCACAGGAAGGTTTCAAGGATCTGTAGAAATGTGGAAAACTATGCAACTCGTAACAAATTAAAGGACTAAGTCCGGAATAGTAACTAGTTCTTTCTGGAAGGAATAGTCTGACCAGTTCTGCTGGCTTTCATTCTAATATTTTCATTCTAAATTTTCATGCAGTTTTATAATGTGCCCTACTAATGTGCTTCAGCAGCCTGGCAAGCTCGACAGAAAGATGATATTTCATTAAACATCTGAAAAGTCATTATGAATTTGGATATTAAACATGTAAATATATCTGTGCATTCAGATATGAATGTATGCCAAGGATAATTCATTTAAGAATTTCTTGTACATGTTTCTTAGCTTGTTATGGAATGAATTTGTAAACCTCTTTTTGCCCCACTTCTGCTTTTAGTATGGAAGTGCTAAAACCTTTGTGTGTTTGAGGGTGGAAAATTGATTTTTTTATATAAAGTTTTGACCTATGTATAGACAAAAAAATTAAATGTACTGCTTACCTGCATGAATAAACAGGTATCTCATAATAATGCCAAGTGTAGAGAAAACAGAAATAAACCAGTGTTTGTTACAGATAGAATGGCAGAGGAAGTTCAAATGAGCTTTTAGCAAACCAGGTTCTTGACTTCAGCTTTTGCAAACCTAAAAAATACTTACTAAAATCTCCTATCAACATTGTGATTTTTCTAAAAATAAAATATATAAAAAAAGAAATTGTGTATGTATTTTTCTTCTTAGTAGCTCTAGAAGCACAAAAATTTTGGTGCTTTACCAGAGAACCAGTCTTCAAGGGGAGTTTCTCTTCCTACTCAATCAGCAATTCAGGTCTATTTCTTACAGACCTTATAAATCATTTTAGAAGGAGGTTGGCTAGTGTCAATAAAGCTGTGAGCTGCTTTCTCAGATTTCTTAGCAGTGTGTAGTGCAGAGAAGACATCTATCTCTCTGAAGGATAGGCATGGATTTTAAAGAAGAGCACCTGGAGTTGGTTAACACAGAACCTACTGAAAATACGCACAGCAATAGAAGGCCTAATATGGGCAAACTTTATAGTGTTCGTGTTGAGAAAGAATAAAGACTGGCTGCTGCCACCTAGGAAAAAAAGGTTAAGAGAAGGCTTGAAATTTCAGGCTGTTCTTTTGTAGTAAGCAAGAAATAGCCAATTTATGGGTTTCTGTTGCTTCTCTATATATAAAATATAGTAGTTTGCTTATTTTTCACTTATCAACGTCTTAATTACTAAGTTGCTACTTGCCTCTCTACCAGTGGGATTTGATACAGAATCATAGAATCATTAAGGTTGGAAGAGACCTTCAAGATCATAGACACCAACTGTAATCAAACTACCACAACCACTGACCTATATCCTGAAATGCCACATCTAAACGCTTCTTGAACACTTCAAGGATGGCAACTGCACCTCCTTTGGCAGCCCATGCCAATGTCTCACCACTTTTTCAGTAATAAATTTTTTCTTAATACCCAAATTAAACCTCCCCTGGCGTAACTTAAACTCCTTTCCTCTAGTCTTGTTGCTAGTTACTTGGAAGAAGAGACCAACACTGGCCCCTCTACAGCCTCCCTTCAGGTACTTGTTGAGAGCAATAACATCTCCCCTGAGCCTTCTCTTCTTCAGACTAAACAACTGCAGTTCCCTCAGCCTCTCCTCGTATGACAAGCCCTCCAAACCCTTCACCAGTCTTGTTTTTCTCTGGACTTGTACCTTCCTAGCTCAACTGCTCCTGCATTGAGTAAATATCCTGATCCATTAGTTTTTAGATTCATTAGGTCAAGAAACATGATCAGTTTACAGTTATCATCCTACTGAAGTGTTTTTATGGTCGTCTCCCACAGATCAGCTCCTGCGCATCATAGTCTGTGGGCTGGTCAGTGACTTTCAGGTCCAAATTTGGGAATTAAGATTCTAATTTCCAGACAGGTTTTGATCAGACTGTGCAGTAAACTGAAAAATAACTGTCCTTTCTAGGCCCTAACTGGAATTTCACTCCTGGTGGGGTAACTTAGTTTAATGGTGAAGGTTGAATGGAAATCAAAGAAGAGCTCTATCCTGTACCTGTGGTCCACCCTTATCACTTCTCTTTTTTTCTCTTACCTACTTCCTTTAAGGAAGAGGAGTTACCTTCAATAATAGGAGGATGAAAGCAAAGCAGGATCTTCTTACAGAATATCTTGTCTCTTTAGCTTCTACAAGGAAGCCGAGGTGGCAGTTTCATTAATCCTGTCAGTGAAAATGACAGCTTAAAAAATGTTTTGCCCACTTTCAAATGTCCATTTCAAATACTTACCTAAACTTATCCAAGTGAATTCATTGGACTATGGAAATAGAAAGAGGTATTTCTTGAGCATAAAATTAGGCAGCTCCTTACTGTAGCTCCTATTAATTCTCATTTCAATATATGTGCCAAATTTTGAATGCCAAGGAAAACTCTTTGTAGTGCACTCAGTGTTCAGTGTACCTTGGGCTGAATTTTTATTCCAATTGTACATTTTGGTATTTGCCTTACTAGTTATCTTAGATCACTATTTAAACTACTGTTCCCTGTGTTTTTCTCTTGACAAGATGATGATTCAAACCTTAACTGAAGATATAATTTTTTTTCCTGCTCTTTTACACACATATAAAAGGCATATTCGAAACAAAGCAAAAGACTTGAATGGAACAAAAATACATTTTATTTTTTTTTTAAAACCCTACATATAGAGTTCTTTAAGAACTACAAGGATAAAATACTAAAATGCATGTTCCTCCATCTAGTTGTGAACAATCAGTGACATATAAACTACCATGTAGTAATTGTATTCTTCCATTGCCAAGGAGTTGTATCAATGATTCACTTGTGTATGTGGCTTATATTTAATATCTAATATTACCAGCTATTTCAATATCTAAATTAAAATACTTCCAGTTTCATGACAAAAGGTGAATACTTTATGGTATTAGTGGGTTTTCCTAGTAGAGTGTAATTTAGTTCTTTCTTCTCCCATAGACTCATGCAGTAGGTCACCCACACCAAAGACTGCAGTGTCTAACCTCTGCCCATAGGAAGGATGGGCTGCAACTGTGATGAGCTGTGACCATCCTCCTCTTTTAGCCTGCATCTAAAAGCAATCTGATGGGCTAACAGTGTATGGTGTAGAGAACAGAGAGACACACTGGCTCCATTTCTCTACCCATTTGCTATTTCTTAAATATATGGGGTTTTTTCTTGAAAAAAAGAATTAAAAATTCAGGTAAGTCACCTACCTTGTCAGGTGAATATTTGGCAGAACTTTGAAAAATATTAATCAAGGAATTCTCAAAGTAATAAAACTGCAATTTATGGTAAAGTGTAAGGCCTTATATTTAGTTTTAATGTATCATATTGTTTCTTCCATATCTTTGGCAATCATTTGAAAGTCTTCAACAGAGGGAGCTCAGATTAAGAAGTTCCTGCAATGTCCCAAGGATAGAAGTGGGATAAGTAGTCCAGGCATCATTACTCCTATGCTAGGTCCAATCCTTCAGTTTGACCTTCCTGTGTCTTCTTACTGTTTTTATTTAGCTAGATAGAGCCAGTAGCTGGCTTCAGAGGAACTAGACAAAGGGATGCACTGTCTTCAAACTTAGTTTAAGAATCTTCAGTATCCCAATGAACTAGTATCATCAGGTGGGTAAAATAAAGTATTTTGGGAAGACTTCACTTACAAGAACAACTTCAACAACACGAACAACTGTTTTGAAGTAAAGCAAAAGAATGTTTGTGAGCTGCTTGGATTTCATGGCTCTAGTACATAGCCTTGCTAACTTTCTTGTTCCCTTGAGGCAAATTAATCACTGATATGATGATTAGCACCTGGGTGCCTGCTTTTGTTAATCTGGAAAAAAATAAACAGTAGATTTACAAGATTGCTTGTGTCATGATGTATTTCTTGCTTTCACAGGCTGACAAAGTCACCTCTAAAACCTGAATGTCTTTAACTCTTCCAAGACTCAGCAGTTGGCCCTGACAAGGAGACTGATGATACATAAATTGAGCTTTAGATCTTCTATTGCTAGCTAAAAATAGTTGAGCTGTGTTATACAGTAAACCAGGCCACTAGAAACCTTTCTCCTGGTTCATATTTGGAACTGGGGATGGGGGGTGCAGGAAACTGACCTACTTGAACACCAAACTTCTTGATGATCCAATATCAACAGGTTTTATCAGTCCAGTTTATATTGTTACATCAGCTTGCTTCTAGTTAGCAAAAAAACAGGAATTCAGTGCACACACTGTATCCAATGTTCTAGGTAACTCAACAGAAATGCATTTGGAGCCAGCCTGTGCCCCATATCAGGCTGGACCATCCAGCAACACCACAAGCCTATGGATGAGCCCCTGATGGCAGCAGAGTATTTGCTGTCCTAGTCAAAACAGTGCTGACAAGAGCTCCTGCAGGTCACCCCCCAGCCAAAGGCAGCTCCTTGCTGGTGCCAGGCAGCAGTGTGACAGCAGCAGTCTGGTTCAACAGGTGAGAGAGGCTACAGCAAAACTGGATATAAATCACATCAGTTGTTTTCAAGTATGTCTATGGATGGATGGATGCACATTTTGCTCATTTTCCAAAGATTTGTGTTCTCACACTTGGCACTACCTGAAATCTCTCTCCATGCAGGATATGCATGGATATTTATATTTTAAAACATATCTAGATGAGTGGAAAAAAGCACGACAGACAGTGTTTACCTTGTGAAGATAAGCATCTTCTGGGGAGCTGAGCATGCTTCAGTTCAGTAGTCAGACATCAGAGCTTACGTTTATATAATTAGGGGGCTTTTGCCAAGTCTCCCAAGACTCTGCAAAGCAGACTCTTGGCCTCCACTTCTCTCACTCGGTGGCTTGAGTTAGCAGCTAGGACTCTGTCAGGATTGCCTTTACTAGCAGTTCCTGCTCAGCCAAAAACTGAGCAGTGCTTTGAGGACAGAAAATACCTGAGAGATTTTTTCCGAGTGCCTGTCGGAGCAGGCAGGGCTCCTCTCACAAGCTGCTCGAGCTCCCACAGCACCACTCCCTGCTTTGAAGGCGAGGATGTCAAACAGGTTGGCTTTCCCTCAGGGCAGAAGGCGGGTTTGGGCTCACTGGCTCCATTCTCATTGGGTGCTGCCACCAGTTCCCCAGGTCTCCAAGCTCCCTGCGTGGGTGATAAATAGATTTCTTAGAGGGTGGGTGGCACCTACTGTGCTGCCCTCGGCTCTGCCCTAGTGAGATCCTCTGCTTTTGTTACTTGTCTTGTACTACACGAGGTTTTTCGGGACTTCTCCCTCTTCCTCAGTGCTTGAGTGTGATGGTGAGGGAACTCGTTGGGCAGAGCCACTGACTCAAGTATCTCCCTCAAACCTTGGCGCTGCAGTTGCAACATCTGCTTCTACTGCCTGGAAAAAAGGAGCCAGTGCAATTCAGGCATTGCATAGAAGACGATGGGGAAATTCAGAAGTATCCTTCTTTTGTGCCTTGGCTTTCTTCTAGTCCATGTAAGAGGTAAGTGATTTTTGCTCTGCTTTGCTTCTAGGGCACGAATATCACAAATGAAAAATACAAAACAAAACAAAATTTAAAAAAACCAACAACAACAACAAACCAACAACAAGAAGCTCAAAAGAACCCCTAAATTCCAGTCTCTAAAAAGATACGCTTGTTCATTTAGAAACACATGCTGGTGTTATTTTTGTTGCTACTGTTCTATGAGAAGCATTCAAGACCGTTTAGATAAGCACTTCTGCAGCTCCTAAAGAGATATGTATCTTTTGGATGATGGCTCGTAACATCTGTGCTAGTTGGAATTTACTTGTTATAACTGCTTATTTTCTGTTTAGTGTTCCTCCCCTGAAATTATTCAAAACCTTGAGTTGTGAATACTCTTGAGTATAAACTTTTTAAACAGAAGCTTTTTAAACAACAGCTTCCAGAGGACCTGAAAGTTTCCAAAGAACTCCTTAGCAAATATTAACTTAGTTTTTAGTTCTTGTCTTGTTTATTGATATTTAGAAACATATTACTTATATCGTAAAATTGAATTATTATTCAAATTATAGATTTGAATCTTTAATATCAGTGCTCATGCTTCAATAATTCTCAATCAATAATAAATTTTCTTTAGCCAACATATTCCTGAATATAAAAAATCCACACACAAGCATACATTTCTTTTTGCATGCAGGATTAATGAAGAATGGAATATACTTTGTACAGATTTTTTTTAATGAAAAAATAGCAGTTGGGAAAAAGTAGTCTCTTGCATTGAGTCTCTGTTCTAATTTCTAACACAATTTTCTTTTAGTAAAGCAGTCTGTAATTTGCTTTTATATCAAACCAAATAGGATCATCCTTGTGTGTATCTGCCACATAATGTACTTGTAACCTTTTATTTTTTGTATATCAGCATTACTTCAAGAACTTTTAGCACAGTGTTTGACTGCAGGAAGAAAACAATCATTAACCACTAGCTTCAAAATTGTTGCTGCTGCTTTTCCTTCCACCACCCCTAATTTGGATGGAGGCCCTAGGAGATGTTGCAGTGACAGGCAGTGAAAAAAACTTGCCTTAAGTTAGTGTCATGGTTCTATTTTAATAAATGAGGAATTATTTGGAGGTCTCCATCAAGAAAATGCAGCACAGAAACAGCAGAGCAGTAGGATTGTGCTGGCCTCAGTATGTTGTGAACAGCCATGATTCACAGGGTGTCTCATCACTGGCATCCTGATTTTCTTGTTCTGGAGGACTCTCACATTGAATATTTCAGTTCAACCAACCTGAGCATGAAGAAGCTGATTTCCATATGCTCTATGACTTTGATTACAAGGATAGTCTGCCTAACCATTTTTGCTTTACGCGCGTGTTAACTTAGAGCCAGTTGGAGCCCTGCTTTGGGGAAGAAGTCATATCAAAAGCTGTTGTGGGCACAGTCGTACGGCTGTGGAAACCATTTCATCCACTTTGAAAAGCAAAATGAAGTATTTTAGGTCTATGGAAACAGTCACTAAATTTTATCATCAAAGTGTTTACCACATTTCAGGGGATGTTTATAAGAAACAATTCTCAGTGTTAATGAAGACATGATATGAGAAAGACAAGCTTTTTACCAGCATGGCCAAGCCTAAGCCCTGATAATAGGAATGTCTGTGGCATGATTCACCTTTTCATTCCTAGCCTTGATTTTTACTTAAACTGTAACCATCTGTGATAGCTCCTAGAAACTACCATGCCACCGTGGCCAGGCCAGATCACATCACTCCTTTTACCATCCAGCCTTTTCTGCATCCAGCTACCTTCAGTTAGTTGGCTAGACTGCCTTGCTAGACACACCTCAACAGAAGTGTCACATAACCAAGGACCACATTGCATAAGAAAAATGAGACCTGATATAGTTCAGAAACATACATGCCTATCACAGTCTTCAATACTTTCAGCTACACCCTACAGCTTTTCTTATTTCAAAGCTTTGGCAGGTTATAGGAGGTCTCCCATATAAGCTGAGCTGCAAAAACTAATTGCCCGAGTGTTTTTTAGCCCAACCCAAATGAAAGAAAACTTCATAGAAATGTCTTGCACTGAAGTTCATTTTAACATCCTATGTTGGTTACTGTGGCTCGGCTCACCTGTGATGATTCAGCTTTGGCTGTGTCTACACTGGCCACTTAGGATGTGGTAAGACACAGTTTAGATATTTGTCCCACAGTAACTGAGATCACGCACAAGTTCCAGACATATTGTAGGTCTATTTTGGACCACACACCTCAGTTTTGATATGTATTAGAGGTCCCATTTAGGCTGTACACCTGTGTGCATATCTGCAATGGGGAAACAGTGCAACCTGAGGGCTTGCTGTTCTATGGAGGTGGAGAGCATCTGAGCCTTTCTCTCAGATGTGAATGTTCTGAACTGCTCCTCAGCTTCCCAACATAGATATATTCTCCATATCCATGGTCTTTAAGACTAACTGATACTTCACATAAACATGTGTATTCAGTAATAAAGACAGCCCAAAGGTTGATCATGTTTAAGACACACTAGATTTGCTCCTTCAAGTACTGCATGAGATGCAGGTAAAAGGAACAATGTTTATTACTAGTTGGTAAATCATGTACCATTGTCAAGCTAAGGCTTTCAAAGATGTTGATGCAAAACTCATTGTATTCTCTGTTAATTAACTAGGCATTTTAGAGGGTGAAAGCTGCAGACCTGTGTAGATTTGAGACACTATATGACTTAGTTTATTAATAACGTAGTTTTCACTGAAGTTAAAAGACAAAATGGGAGAGATGAAAAACATAGTTCTGTTCCTCTTATACTGCTCCATCGAGTTCCACTCCTCCCTGCTCCATGAGAGGTCCCTATGCATGTGCCAAAGCACTCACAGTATCAGCAGGGACATATCAAACAGTGAATTCTCTTGTTGCTGGTTGCCAAAGCCTTTTCATTCCAAATACCAGAGCTGTTTTCATCTGTAGGCATGTCATTGTTATCATCTGAGGCTGTGATGGGAGCGTGATAAATAGTCATACCTGAACTGGTTCAAATGGTAATAACAGCAGAGCTCTTGCAACCACAGGCCATGGGAAGACCTAACAGCCTGTGTAGTTACTCAGCTTCTCAGGTTCACTTTTCAGACATTGCTACCACTTTGCAAGCCTGCTAGCAGTTCCCAAACTGCCAGTTTTCAGTATATATTTTCCCCTCATTCGCACCAGCAATTATCAGTCTCTTTCTATCCTATTGAGGGGAAAGAAATGTCATACTAAACAAATAAATGTCATCATTCTTTCGAGATTAAAAAGCCATAAAATTTTGCATTTCTCTGCCATTTTGCCTTGCAGCCAGGAGGAGAGATATTCAGATTGCTTTATCTTTTCTTTTGATTCTTTCTTTTCCACAGGAGGACTGATATCTATAAATGTTATAGGAATATACTATCTAAAATCTGGTCTGTAGTACCACATCTCATGAAAGCAAACAGGCCATTCCAGTTGAAAGACAGAGCTTGAATAGGTTATGAAAATATAACAGTCTCACTTCCACTGTACAAGCTTTGCCTCTCATCAATGCATTTTTTAATTCTTGAGGAATTTATTTCAAAAGTTCACTCAGAGCAATTTATTTTCAAAGGGCAACAATGATCCAGATTAAATGAAAAAAAGAAGAAAAAGAAAAAAAGAAAAAAGGCCAGAGTAGGAAGTAAGATCAGCAGACTAATTAAAATTCTTCCTTACATTTCAGGCTTTATAACGTCACTGGTGGACAAACCAGGGGCATACACTCCACACAGGGAACAATCCTGAGTTAGCAGCCACAAAGCCTCCTGGATCATAATCATATCAAAACTGAAACTTTATCTTGTAGGTTGCCAACTGCAAGGGGCAGCAATTGAGATACAAGCCAAATATTTCTGTCCACAAAGACTGTACAGACCATTTGTACCATATGTACAGAACATAGCAGTAAAAAAAGGTGGCTGACTCTTCAGAAACCCAACCCAGATTTGCAGAGCAGTCTGCATACTAAGACTCCTGATTTCTGTTCCCTCCAAAGGCTAAGCCACCAGATCCTCTTCTGAATCTTCTGCTTTTGGAGCTCAGATACCAGCTGATGCTCCATCACCTTTTGCTCATGGTGGCAGAGGCTTCTCTGTGCACTCTGGCAGCATATGCAGGGCCTTCTCCAGCTCTGCAGAGGAAGCCTAATTACTTTTCTTGTTTAATCCAAATGAAATGACATGGTGGATCCCGAGGCTTTGCAGTGACTTCGTTGCTGAACAGACTTGCTTGCTGACATCCAGCAACTCTTTACAGCATTCTTCTGGTATGGAGAACACATTCTTCATGGCACAAACCAGAGAAGATGCAGGCTTTGCTTCTTTGCTGTCTTGCCTTTTAAACACAAAAGTAAAGAATGTGTAAAAAATGCTCTGATCATCCACTTCGACTTGGCAGTATTACTAAACCCCTTTGAAGCAATATAAACAATTATGCCAATGGGCTACCATGACTTCAGGATTAGTTATACAACAGAATTTCTGAAACAAATTCAACTCAACAGTAGTTACTGAGTAACACTACTGAGATCTGTGCTACCCATATGGAAGAGCTCAAGGTTATTTAGCATGTATTTTACCAGTGCACTTGGGATGAAGATGGGAGCAGGAACATTAAAAGACATTCTGTGAGCAACACAGATTAAAAAGCCTGGCATCTCCCTGACCTCAGCATTATGTGTGTCTCCATATGCTGTCTTTAAACCACCAGCTGGCGAAAGTGTGGAATAGCCAGCTGGTTCTTAGGCAGTGAGTGGTCATGCTGAGAGCCCAACACAGCTGTTGCTTGTGCCACTCTACAGGGTTCCAGCAGGAACACTCACACAGGTCTCTGAGGCTATCTACTTCTACCTTCCTAATGTAACTTGATTAGGCCTGACAGCTTCTGACCAAATGGGTAAGAAGGGCTGGCAGCTTCACAGATCACACAGGGACAGAGAGAAGCTTTTGC